CTCCTATTCGCTGTTTTGTCTACTCTCACAAATGTTTTCAGTGAAATCTCACCATGCACCTCACTCTTAGCACCAAACCGCATGCACACAGTTACTCACTGCTAAAGATAAGGAATAAGAGGCCGCCTGTACCCATATGAGTGGGTAGAGACCAAACCTTGAGCTAAAAGAGAGTAATAAAGAAACATTAAATTGAATGGCTGTTAACCGCTAAGAAAAAAACCATTCATGAAGCATTTTATTTAACTAAAGAAGCCAGTGTAAAGGAGAAGCTAGTCCACAGGTGAAATGAAGAAGTTCAGTGTCACTCAGCTCATATTACTTTGTCAATATTGCAGTGAAAAAGTTTATTTATTTCCCAGAGAGAACAAAATTAAAGTCACAGTGTGTCAAATCTCACCACTAGATGTCACTAGATTACAAATTGCAGTCAACTGAATTCCGTTTTGTTTTACCCCTGGCACTTCAAGCAATTAAGCTGTGATTTTTAGGACACAAGAGCCTAATATTAGCTGGCATCATGTTAGCTTACAACCAGCTGTTTTTGTTGTTTGGGCAGTTCATTGTAATAACGAATGAGCATGTTTAGAGCCCTGACTTCAGTTCATGAGATGGCTTGAGGTTAGGAGGAAGAAGATGACATTATATCTAGATGGCATTATCTCTTATGCTTTGGATTTTCACTTCTTTGGCGAAGGGGTTCCCTTCCCCTTCACGTCTGAATGTGCAGGCCTCCACGGAAAACAAACACCAATGACTTCTCCTCTGCCTCTAACCACATACACAAACAGCATTAGGCAGAACAGTGATGTCTACTGCATCTCAGCTACTGTATTCAAGCTGGTTTTGTGTATTTTAATGGATTATTTCTAAGACAGTTACAAACTAATCAATGTATAATTGATAAATGTTAAATTGACTGATTCTTATATAGCCCTTTTCTACTCTCCCAGAACACTCAAAGCACTTAATACAACATCCCACATTCACCCATTCACACAAGCAGTTTCTTCTCTGATTTTAAGTGCTTAGTAACTAACATTCACAATCCGATGGATGCATCGGAGAGCAACCTAGGGTTAATATAATGCCCAAGGATATTTGGCATGCAGACTTGGGAGAGCCAGGGATTGAACCACCAACCTGCTCAGTAGATCTGCCTTTAAAGTCTTACAGATTTCTAAATCTGTAAGAAAGAGGGAAGAGGAAGCCAAGATGAGAGATTTTTCAAGGTAAATACTTCTCAGCTACTGAGAACTAATAAAATTAGAAATTTAAGTTTCACCGCGGCGGCACGGTGGTTAGCACTGTTGCCGCACAGCAAGAAGGTCCTGAGTTCAATTCCACCATTAGGTCTTTCTGTGTGGAGTTTGCATGTTCTCCCCGTGTTTGTGTGGGTTCCCTCCAGGTACTCCCGCTTCCTCCCACTGTCCAAAGACATGCAGCTTGTGGGGATAGGTTAATTGTGTGACATTCATTATCAGACATTGTCTGATAATCCAAATTGCCACTAGGTGCAAGTGAATGTGAGCGCAAATGGTTGTCTGTCCCTGTGTGTTGGCCCTGCGACAGACTGGCAACCTGTCCAGGGTGTACCCCGCCTCTCGCCCTATGACAGCTGGGATAGGCTCCAGCGCCCCCCTGGACCCTGAAAAGGATAAGCAGAAGCGAATGAATGGATGGAAGTTTCACTTTTAATATCTTTGTTCATTTTATGATGTGCTTCTGAATTCAGTTTTTTTTCTTTTTTTTCTTGTTTTTCAAATTTGGAAACGTGTTGCAAAAAGTTTGCTGTGGTTTTCATGGTTTGATGTCACGGGAATTTATGTAATGTAAATTTCTTCAGCCGCCAGTGAGCCAGTGACATCTCAGGATAGATCCACACTAGCGTTTTCAGTCGTTTTCACAGAGTTGTGTGTCCACATTGAAACGGCCAAAAACGCTTACGTTCCAGTACTGCGCATGCGTGAAACGCAAGAAGATTCAGCCTGCCTCATTTCTGTCTGCTGTTTATTTACTTTCCGGCTCTTTGAAATGTTGCAGAAAAATGCTAAGGAAAAGCACCGTTTTTTTAAATGGACTAACAATGAGGTGGAGTTGTTGCTGCGAGTAACACAAAAGTACAAAGTTTCAAAAGCGAGTGAGATTTAAAAAATTCAAAGAAAAGCTATCTGAAGCATGTACAAACTGATATCAATCTTTAATAGGGCTGTCAAAACTGAGAGCAAACAAAACAACTGCTGTATAATGGCCTCCGCTATCTTTGTTTAATTGGTCACATGACTGTATCATATGACTAACATGCGTCATCATTTTCGAAAGTCCCCGTTTTTGCTGTCCACACTGCGACGCATAAGCACCGTCTTCAAATGTATGCGTTTTCGAGAGCGTTTTGAAAACGCTGCATTTTCCCTTGGGGAAAATGCCATCTCATTGTGGATGGGAGGCCAAAACAGAGAGAAAACGACGTAGCCTCAATGCCTGCCTGTGTTTTGTGACTGCATGGACTCGTCCATGGGGAATTTACATTACAATGCACCAACTATGCATACACTCAGGCATGACAGGAATGACTACTAATAAGTCAGGTCTCCGTCTGCACCCAAGTATAATTCAAGCTTTAATTCAATTTAAATTTTAACTGACGATGGTGGTTAGACTTTGACCTTTCATACTAGCTAGGAGGTGGAAATTAACAAAGATTGACGAACAAAGATTCATGTAATATGTGCTCCATATATTGGGATGTGACTTATTTGTAAGTAATTCTTTCGTCCACACTATATCACAAGATTAATGTTAGGGTTCCTCTGCCTCCCATATCCCACCTGTTCAAGTTAGCCTTTGTCAGTTTCTCACCATGTGCAACATTTTTACATTCATCATTTATACCATCATTTACATGAAAAAGTATTGCTTAGAGTGGCCTGTGATGGGGAGCTTTATCAACTTAACAGCTTCAAAGCTTGGCAGTACAAATAGGTTTCACATCGTTCCTGTGTTGAAGGCATTTCAAAATAACAATGGCTTTCTTCTCTCTTCTGATTAAACAGCGCATTACCTGCTGACTCACTGATACTTCCAGTAACAATGAGTCAGGGCCCCACTTGGACCCAACAGGTTGGCTTCAGGGACTTTCAGTGTGCCCTGGGCAAAATGAACAACAGCTTGCCGTCATTACAATAAAGCTGAATTTAATTTTATAATGTAATGAGACACACAATGATGTCACAAAATGAATGGTAGATGTTGCAAAGCCAGATTTTCTTTCTTTGAGTTTTCTGTAAATACAACACTAACAAGATATTATAAAGCGGATGAGGTGAAAGTGAGCCAAAATAAAAACAAAGCAATGAGCAGCCACATTTACTATATTTATACTCCTTTAATCAGTTGTTACATTTCACTGTTACATAGTAACGGTGCAGTTCAACTCAAACATGGATTAAGCATCAAACTGGCTTATTTGTAACTACTGTTACTTAAAGAATAATTAACTAAAGATTTTGAAAGGACAGAATGCTGCATTAGTGCCGCCATCTGGCAAATGAGGTAAACAGTACAGGAATGTCAGAACCTTTTGTACAAAGCTCTGGTTGGAATTTAATCCATTTGTGTAATAATAAAACTCCACAAGATTAAAAACACATGGTAATTTAATCTAAATCGTGTTTTCTTGTTTGTTATCTTGTTTAAATGGGCAAAATCAGAAAGCACAAAGAGAAACAGGAATCCATTCTAGATGGTGATGTTCGCAGTGATTTTGGGTATTTTTGATTTTGGTATTCAATATTTATTTCTAACACTGGCAAAGAACTAATTCATTGATGAGCACGGCAGTTTTCATTAGATCAGAGATTTTGGCTTTCCATTCTTTTATTACATAATGAAGATATTTGAGCTTATATTCTCATAGCTACACCTCAGTCTCACACTCTGTCCTCAACACACACGCACACACTGTTGACAGTAAGCAGGAGGGTGGAGTAAAGTATTAGCCTGACTCTGTTTGTTGCACATGCACACACACACACACACACACACACACACACACACACACA